AAACTGAGCAGCAGTGAACAATTTAAATGTACAGTCACCTCACCCACATGTGTTTGGCTGCTGTCCAACGATACTAGCTGCCCGTGGTCTTGATTTCTAGCGAAGGACAGACTGATAGTACATCCCAAGAGAGCTATTTATAGGACACTAGTGCATGTCATTTTCCTTAACTATCATCTAATTGATCTTGATGTTTTCAGACTCTGCCATTTATTTCACATTAAATTACAGGTTTTTAAAACTAGACCATTGTGCCAGGCCATTTAGTGGCTTCCTATTACTCACCTGACACTGCCTGGGAAAAGTCATCTGAGGAAATGCAATGAGATCACTGGGGCACCCCCTTTTCAAGGCTAATTTTTTCAGCACACTCTGTATTACATTTTTATTTTTAACTCAGATCAGTTTTTTTTCCCTAAGGCAACTGAGTCCACTCAATTTTCTCAACTGTCAAAAACGTAAATTGCTATATTATTATTTTCTTTTTTCCTGGGAAACTCTAATCCTCATGTCCAGCCCCATTTTCTCTTTTTTGATGTCCTTAAAGAGCAGGGATGATAGCTGATTACTGCAAGATGACATTGCAAGAGCAGGTTGGACACATTTCAAGAGGCCTGACCTTTGGAGGTGAAGGCTGCTGGGAAGGGGGCTTCCATCCTGCAGGGCAACAGCCTCTTAACTCATCTTCCTGCTCTGTCCTGGCCCCTCGCCAATCTATTGTCAATCCAGCAGCTGGGACGATCCTGGTAAGACATTGCTGGATCATATCCCTCCTCTACTCAAACACTGCCTGACCTGTCCCTTCACTCCCTCCCCTCACTCACTCCACTTCCCCCGGACTTTCTAACACACCAGCACCCTCCTGCCTCATAATGTTGCCACTGCTATTTTCTCTTTCTAGAATTCTCTTTTGGTAGAGAAGGGGGACTTCTGAGAGTCTCCCTTCTCCAATGGTGTACATCCCTATATTGTTTGTAGCCTCGAATCCTTGAAGTCTCTACTCACCAAAACCTTCCTTGACCAAACTATTCAAACAGCAAGCCCTGTCCCCAGCCCCCTCGAATGCCCTTTCCCCTTTTCCTGTGCTACTTTTCTCCATAGCATGTGTCAATGTCTGTCATACTCGATGCATTTCTTTTTTTTTTTTCCTGTCTGTGTATCCTTACCACATCTAAACTCTGAGATGGAAAGATCTTTAGTGCATTTTTGCTTATTTCGGTGTCTTTGCAGCTTAGAAGAGTGTCTTGAATGGAGCAGTGAGTATGTCATCTAGCTAGTGGCTTGTTTCAGGAAGTCTGCCAGTGTTTAATAACACTATTCCCTAATACTGCTTAGAATCTCCCTTACCCGACGGTGTGCTGGTGGTATCCTTCCACAAATAGAGCCACAAATACCCATCACTATCCCAGAAAAGAAAGAGATGAATGCAATGTTTTTTTCTTTTTTTTTTTAAGATTTATTTATTTATACAAGAACCGGGGTAGAGGCCGGATGTGCGGGGGTGGGGGGTGGGGAGGGGCCGGGAGGATTCACCAGAGACAGAACGGGGAACAGAACAGGTAGACTGACGAAATACGCTGCTGAGGGGAGCAGCGGGCGAAACAGGAGAGGTCTGCTGTGCCATGTGGGTTGCTCCACGGCCGGTGGGGATCGAACTCATGCTGCAGAAGCTGCGGACAACTTCACAGCGCTGTGCTCAACTGCTTGTGCCACCAGGGAGGCCCTGCAATAGGTTTTTAATGTATGTCTCCACTTTTGAACATTTGAAAAATAGGTCATTCATAGTCTTTCCCATATAATTAAGAACTCCATTAGCACCATTAGCACGTTATTACCAGTGACTTGGAACTGAATATGTATGTCATAATCTTTCCCCAAATAAAGGAAAACAACTTTAATGGCTCTGAATGATTTCTTTGATTGAATTGGTTCAACCTGGTTTTATTTTTTGCAGAAGCGATTTCTCTGCACTTAGGGTCACGTTTTCAGCTGATTCAGTATTTATTAAGCACTTCCTATTCCAAATAACAGTGTCAAGCATTGTATTATAGTTGTTGCAAATATTAATTTCCATCAGCTGTCTTGAATCAGTGTACTTGGTCTCTACTGTGCCTGATTCTTGGTAAGGTGTTAACTGTTTTCCCTTTTAAGAAGCCTCAGGAGGTTACACCTTTTGGGAGACACACAATTCACTCTCAAGGGAAATGGCTGGCTCTTTGGCAAGTCCCAGTCTTAGTCTCAAAGGTCTCTCTTACTGCCACCAAATTCCCAAAGAAACCAACAGACAGGATCTCCCCAGAATATCTTCTGCTACTCTGTGCTATACTTGGTCTTTTGTAGAGAATTGGTGTATAGAATAATAACACTCCTTTTGCACCAGTTTACTCAATACTTTTTTAGGGACTGGTAGGTTCCAGTTGCAGTTAGCACTCTCTTCTTAAACATAGTCAACATATATTTTCTGATTCAACATCCATTCAGTCATTCATTTTAGTAAAGGCTAAGCATGAGGGCTTTGCTGTGCCCACTGAACATTTCAGAACATTAACAATATAACTCTTGGGCCTCCCTGGTGGGCAAGGGTTTAAAGACAGCGGTATTAAGCTATCACCAGCCGCTGCAGCACAAGCAACCCACAAGACACAGCAGACCTCTCCTGTCTCCCACCTGTTCCCCTAAAGTAGTTTATTTTAGTAGATCCACCTGTTCTGCTCCCCACTCTGTCTCTAGTGAATCCTCTCACCTCCCACACCTCTGGTCTGCATCCCAGCTCTTGTATGCATGAATAAATGAATCTTAAAAAAAAAAAAAACCAAATACCAATATAACTCTTACACTAATACAGAATGATCATGCATCACAGCTTTCATCAATTCATTAACAAGGGCTCTAGCAGGATGGTAAACCTATTTCAAAGGATTATAGTTGAAACAAGTATTTATAGTTAGGGAAAGAAAGCATGCTGGAATAAGATTGCTAAATTAGATACAAAATTGATGTTTTGGGTTTCTGGGTAAGATCTCACTGGGGTGATAAACTGTTGTTTTGTTTCTAGTATTTCCTTGTGTCCCTGAGCCCTTGACCCATTCAGTTTTCTGTTCTCATGGCCTCAGGGAGCAAGATGACTCAGAGAAAACAGAGTAGTTAAGGAAGGGGAGCATTCTTGGGTTGTAAGTTTCAAAAGCTTAGGCTTCAGAAAGGGCAGAGTTCTGTATGCAGATTAGATTTTTGGGGAATGAAGAAAGACAAAGCCTTAGGAAGGACTTTAAGAGCTGGGAGAAAGGGGAGGACAGGGGTGGGACTTGGGTGGAGGGCCACATTCTCATATGTGCTAAATCAGCCTCTAGAGATGGCCAGGCTCCCTAGCCCCCAGCCATTGATGAACGGCACATTTTGGATATCAAAGGAAGTCAAGTCTCCTTTGGATTGAGGCTGCTTCCCTCACAAGGAGGAGATCTGTTAATAGATTTCTTGGTGTCTGGTGAAAAGTCCTTCTTAGACACCCACTTGCATGTCATCCCATGACAGCTACTGACTCCCCATTAGAATGTGAAGCAAACTGGTGGTGGGAAAAGCATGGTGGGTAGGTGCCTTCCAACCCATGTAAGCCACCAATGGCCTATGGGACTCTGGGCCAGTCCCCTCCTGTCACACAACCTAATGTAGTATGAGGGCTGGACTGGAGTGGAAGATTCTTTGGTTTCTTTGGGGATTTGATGGAAGTGAGAGAGACCTTTGAGACCAAGACTGGGACTTACCAAAGAGCCAGCTATTTCCCAGGAGAGTGAATTGTGTGTCTCTCAAAAGGTGTAACCTCCTGAGACTTCTTAAAAGGGAAAACAATTAAAACCTTACCAAGAACACACCTGGGTCCTAATTCTTTCTCATCCCTGTGGCATAGGCAGCTGGTTAGTAGCTTACTCAATTTCCACTCACTGCTTTTCCCTTGTTACTGTATCTCCACTTGGGTTCAGGGTAGCAACATGGCCATTCCAAAATGAGGCTTCCTTCAAGGTCATGTGATAATTCTGGTCAGTGATATGTAAATGAAAGGCTTCCATCTTTCCCTGGAAGTGGATTCTAAAAAAGCTATTATTTCCTAATAAAAATGGGCAGACTCAGTTGCCTTCTCTTTTCTCTCCTTTCCCACTGAGACCACTTGCTAAAGATGCAGAGCAGCGATGTAGGAGCCTAGTCCTTATCTGCTACCCAGTTCCTAGTCCTTATCTGCTACCCAGTTCCTTTTAATATGAGGAAAAAAATTCCTCCCTTAATTCATGATGTAGCTTCTGAAAAATGTAACTGAGCACACTAGTGAGCGCCGGTGACTCTCATTCCATAGGGACCACTCACATCTCCCACATGCATGAACCCCGCACCCCTGTGGAAGGAAGTGGTTCTCAAGCTGTGGAGAGGCTGCAGAGTGTGGCAGCGAAGACCTCCTGCATATGGGGGAAAGCCGTGGATGGATGCTCTAGGCCAGGACACTGATAAACCACTCCCTGCTAGTAGAGCAGAAAGGACCACCTAAGAATAAAAAGTAAAACACTTCCTTCCAGTCCAGCCCGCTCTCATTTTATGAAAGAACAACATGAGGATGTGGGACAGGAAGGGGCTTGTCTAGAATCCCACAGGCCATTGGTGATTTATGTAAATGGGAAGACAAGTCTCTCCTGCCAGCCATGCTTTCCCACCACCAGCATGCTTCAAGTTCTAAATTCCTTTATATTTTATTTTCTATTAAGCAATTAGCTGAGTAGAGAAATTTGAGGGCTTTTGAATGAAAACAAACAAGGATTAAACAAATCAAATAATTCATAAGTAATCCAGATGGCAATTAAAAGGATTAATCTCGTGTTTCTAAATGACAAATAATCCTCCTAATTATTAATTGCTAAATTAAATGTAACAGTCTCGCATGTTCTCATATTGTTCTGATTTATTCATCATCGGTGTACTTAAGAGAAAAATATAAATTAACCATATGTAAATGGCTATATTAGGCAGCAGGAAGAGGAATAGCCCCCTCGCAGAGGTACCTGTTTGTAGCTGACACAGAACCCCCGTCTAGAACAAGGTGGATCCCACGTGACTCTGCCGCTAAGAAATGGTGTCCTGATCTGGAAATCTAGAGCTGAAGAGACAACCAGCTGGGACATCAACCAGGAAAGCTTTGAGGCCAGCCTGTGGTGTGTCTTCATCCTCTGAGTGCTTCACAGGCCGCAGGTGGAGGGAGTTCCTTTCGACTTTAGTAGAGCGCCCTCTGGCGGCCAAATGTTTTTCTGCAGGACTTTCTGTAGGAAAATGAAACCCAAACCGTAATTTTGGAACAACCATTTTTGTGGCGATCCTCTACCTCTTTTAGGAAACCATTCTACTACTTCACATATTTTATATCCAACAAAAGTTTACTAAATCTCAACGTGGATTCCCTTTGACGCTGTTTTAAATTCGTGGTTTTTCTTCAGTGGAGCAGGGGCAATGATGCTTCTCCCCAAGCCTGAAATGCATCATTTCAAACCCTGCATTGGACTAGCAGAGTGGTACAGCGGAAACTTGCTGGGCCTGCAACCCAGCCTTTGGTAGATCGAATACTGTACTTGTGGATGTATTCGATAAACTCTACATCACTAAGATTTAACCGATGTAACCATTTTTGTCAAATCCTGCATTTGAGGACCAATATTTAGTGGAAGGAAAGAAACAACTTCTCTTAACTTCATTCCATGTGAAAGTGAAGCTTACTATCACTACTGTGGTCAAGGTGTATTTTTGGATTAATTTAATTTTAGAATGATTTATCCACATATATGAATGCACTTGGGAAATTGTAAACTCCTGCATATTCTAAGTATCACCTACATCTTTGTCATCTGTCTCAAGAGAACAGGAAATAGTGATGCTGGTTATAAAGGTGGACAAACTCAACCAAAACCTGGAAGATCATTCTTTCATTTCCACCTCAAACATCTGCTAAGCACTTGCAGTTGCAAAATCTGAAGAAGTACCTAGGAGTAGATTATTTAGCTGGTAAAAGAGGGGGGAAAAATCATTCCAACAAATGAGTACATTTATAAGTTACTTAAATTCCCTTTACATTAAAAATAACACAAAACCACTTTAAACTCACAAAATTAGAAAATAGTTTTGTTTTTTTGAGATAACATTGATTTACAACACTTACATGACTTAGGGGAATAAGTTCACACCTCCTCAGAGGCATGTTAAAACAACACACCCACCACCAAAGCATTCATAGTCCTTTAATCTAGACCCTTGGCCCCCAATCCCCTTTGTAACCACCCCATCCACTCCTTCAATAGCCTCAATTCTATAGCTTTATTTCTAGAATTTGTTTTGGTGTGGCTTTGTCTGTTTCTTTGTTTCTCTATATCCCGCATATGAGTGAAATAATTTGTATTTGTCTTTATTCTTCTGACTTATTTCACTTCACTATTTATTACCCTCCAGTTCCACCTATGTTGTCACAAATGGCAAGAGTTTATCTTCTTTTTTTCTTTGTAGCTGAGTAATAACCCAATATTCCATCGTGTATACATATTACATCTTCTTAACCCTCCAAAACTTGGCTCTTGTAAGTAGTGCTGCAATGAACATAGGAGTGCATATATCCCTTCAAATTAGTCATTTTGTATTCTTCATAACCCATGCCATTTATACATACTGTTCAAAGACACACACACGTTTATATATATATAGAGTGTAATTAAATACATATAAATATGTGTAAATGTTACCAAGTAGATAGATCTATCTATATATATATCTATATAGATCTATCTACTTGGTAACAATTACTCATATTTATCATATATAGGAAAATAAAACTTCTATTAATCACAGAATAACTTATTGTTTTAGATGCTACCTTAAAAACTTTCTTCTAGCCCACTGTTTTCTGAAATAACAACAAAAAATGCTGACATATCAAAATAAAGAAAAAGAAAACAGAAGGTTTTAATGATATTCAGTGTTTGACACCTAATAGGGTTTCAACAAATTTGAGACATGAACAAATAAATAGCAAGATGGGGAAGGCATTTTTCTATTTTTTATGTGAGCATTGTTTGGAATGCCCGTTTTGGATCTTGATAAGAGGCTTTCTCATCCTAATGAGCATGTTAGCATCTATACACCCTCTGTGATTCTGTGGGAAAAAATGTGAAGATCTCACTAACAGGGCCCTGAGGAACACTACATTGTCACCTTCCTGCCAGCTAGGAGCTGCCAATGAGCGGTAAAGGGAAGTGTGGTTTGGGGATTCTGGGTCATTTACATAAAGGAAGTTGATTCAACTAGAAGATAGATTATTTTGATCGATCTTCTCCTAGTTTGCCTGGAACACAGATGTAATTACTGGTGTTCCAGCAGCTGTATTGGGCCATGTGGCAATTTGGCGATACCTCAGATTGAATACTTTCTGCTAAGAATGATAGGAAGCAGAAAGATCAAAGGAAAGTAGGTCCCTGATGACCACAGAGTCACCAAACCAAGCGTGGACAACCTCTTATTTTATGTAGAAAAACGAAACAATTTTGTTTAAGCCTACAATTGGGTTTTCTGTTACATGCAGCTGAACCAAATGCTAAAATCACCACTGCAATATTGGTGTTCTCTCAGGGACTTGACTCAGCCTTTAATCTCCTTTCACAACTTTTCCTGCCACAGCCTTTCATCTATTCTTAAATCTGAGGTTTGGGAAACTTTCTTTAAGAGTGCAGCTAATATTTGGGCTTTGTGAGCCAAATGGTTCTTGTTGCACACTTAGTATAGACTCAGCTCTGCTGTTGTAGTGCAAAGGCAGCCTTAGTGCATTGACAAGTGTGTGTGGCTGAATTCCAGTAAAACTTTATTAGAACTGGCCTGCACACCCTAGTTTGGTGACCTCAGCTCTAGTCCACAAATTTGGGGGAAATGAAAGGTAATTTTGTTCAGAAAGTGAATCAGCCTGTTGCAAGGGTCACATCTTATTCATGTATATATTCTCACTACCTAGCACAGCATTTGGCACCCAATATGAGTTCAGCATTTTTTCAAGTAAATAAATGGAAAAGCCATGTCAATGAGGCAAGGAATCCTTTTAAGGTTGTGATTGAAGTTGTTGGCAATGGATATCAAGTTCTGGTTTAAAATCCTTTGAAGAGAAAACCCCTTGAATGCATGTGAAACCTGAATTTACCTTAAATCTCTTCTTATTTTCTGAGCAGATTAATCCCTATCTCCTGTGCATTAAGCAACAGGATAAAACCCCCCCACTCCTTCAGTTCCCCATCTCTCTTACACACTTAGGGGAGAACCAAGGCTCAAGGTGAAGAAGAGATTCATCTGTCCCGAGGGCGTGGCGCTGGAAGGGCATGAAGACAGCATGAGAACAGAGAGGGCGAGGGCAGAGCTGAAGTAGGTCCCTGCTGGGAGAAGAGGGAGCACCATTTTTATCGGGGGGCTGCTTCCAGCGGCTGGCAGATGGAGGGACACTGGGCTTCCTCTGTCATTAGGGGCCCTTTGGAAGAAAGGTTTTACCCCTTCCCTCCCAGGGTGATGGATGAAAATAGTGATGGTGTCTCTGGACAGGAGGGACTGATGTCCTCAGGGATCTTGTTCTCATGCCTGCCATGCAGGCACACATGCCCTTCATCCCCCGTCATATTTAAGTTCACAGTCTACCTGGTGTGACGTGATGCAAATGAGAATTTAGTGAATACTTCCAGTACAAAAGGGTTAGCTCCTGTGTTGCTCATTTTCCTGCTAATTCACATGTACCATTCCATAATCCCTTATCCAAACCCCTGGGGCCATATGTGTTTTGGTCTACAGAATGTTTTGTGTTTTAGTGAGGTGAAAAAGTGCAATAATTAAATGCTCCAGGCACAGTCTTGACACACATTAATATTTAGGCAAAAATTAGAAATTTTCACACTCAGTAGGAGCAATGAAAACTGTAAGTAGCCTCATTCATGTCAGGGCAGGTTTTGCCCCCCAGTAGATTTTGATGCAATGTGCATAATAAAAGAAAAAAAACATTTTCATAGTTCTTTCTTTTTGATTTCAGAAATGTGAATAAGGGGTGGTGGGCTTGTGTTCACTCTTTCTTAAAGTGCTGCCTTCCAAATAGTCACTGTTCTGCCCACAGAAGCACAGCTGCAGGCGTTGCGCTTTCTTCACAGTGACCGCAGGTTTGGATTTGTTCACATTGTATGCCATCTTCACTATTCTGCCTAATACATAACGGGTCCTTCTTGTTAACTAAATTGCAATGATCTTGCACGCAGAAATTAGGGTAATGTACCATCGAGATGAAAAAAATCAAGCCCTGGGAAGTTAAGGGGCTTGCTCCAGATATAGGAGCGTCTTGAACTCCCAGTGCTTTGTCCTCCCCATACCTGTTGTTTGCACACAGTATGAGTGAGGCTTGTAATTATACTAGAGTTTAAGAGAAAAAGAAGTTGGGCTGCGGTTCTCAGCAGGGGGCAGTATTCTCTTCCCTCCTCTCAGGGAGGCTGGATTAGAATGGGCCCTTAAACTCAATGACTGGTGTCCTTATCAGGAGAGAGAGACTTGGACAGAGACACACACAGAGGGAGTGTGTGTGCCTGGAGATACTTTGGGTTGACACAACCACAGTTTGCTGTGCCATTTGGTGGATAGATGCCAGGGATGGGGCTAAACATTCTACAATGCACAGGTCAGCTCCTATAACCAAGATTTAGACAGTCCTGAAAGTTAATATCACTGAAATTGAGACGTCGTGAGCTAGAGTATCTTTCAATTCAGTCCAGTTCCTAAAAACCTCTGGTGTTGCGATTTCTGTTGGTGTCACTGCCTCTCTGTGTTACTTTGTGCAAACATCTTACCTGATCCCAGCCATTCATGCAGTTGTCAGGAGGGCAGGTATGGTTCATATTTGGCACCAGGCTGGGACTCTGCCCATACCTGCTCCCTTCTATCCTACAAATATGAACCATACCTGCCCTCCTGACAACTGCATGAATTCCTTTGACATGGGATATTTTGAAGTACCAACTTGAGGACAGGCTGTGTGACTGACCCAGGAGGGCAAGTGAACAAATAGACTGTTATCCCCAATGGGGGGATGTAGTTAAGAAAACTGAAAACTTGCTCAAAGCAACAAAACAAACTTTGAAGATCAGAATATGAGTTACATTATGCCTCTTTATCTCTGTCTTAGGAAAATGGGAAAGGAAAATTTTTGCCTCTGCTAACTTTTGAACCACCACCAGGGAGCAGACTCTGCTCACCTAAAGGAACAAAGCCG